ATATGATATAGAATTCTTGCACTTAAAACATTGTTGTTACCATGTACAACATCTCTTCCAATTATTCAAGCCCTGTTTACTAGCCACAACCTGTACTGGTTATGGCCCTGGCCGTGCGTAGAGAGTCGAAATTAAAACCATTGTTTCGAACAATTATCGTCCAATGTAATTCAAGGAATATGGAACGTGTCCCTCAATGAAACGGACCAGGTTCGAATACCGACGATGGCTAATCAATTTTCATACGACTTTCTACTTATGCTTACAACAATGCTAACGGAAATATTCCCAGTGGTAAATGGATCATGGGTTAAGTTCCCTTGCCATCGGGCTCATGGGAAGTTATTGTAGGTTAGTAAAATTCCGAAAATCTTCAACGAAAACGAGTTCATCCAAATATTTGAACTTGCGAGTTCTTTTGCTTAGGTTGGGCTCAGAATTACAAGGTTATGGGGTTGAACATTATTAAAGCCGTAAATTCGATATGGATCGGCTGTTCAGCGGAAGTAACTATTGAATCTCTACTATGGCCGAAACTAGCAGATCTTATCTGATCGAAACTGACTGAAATATCATCAACTCTTTTGTTCTCTTATAAAATCTAAATTTAATTTATAAAGTCTAGTTAATACAAATACAAATTTGGTTCTTTCACGTCCCGTAGTGGACTGATCTTAAAGATACGATTCCCTGTAGAACACCGAAGTCAAGCGTCACTGGCTGCGGTCAGTAAGCGAGTGGGGACCACTTTGATCAGCCTGCGTAGGGACCGAGGGTGCGCAATATCGGTTCTCGTTTAACTGTTCTACCGTAAAATGCTCGACGAAGATCATCGGGCTACCACAGCAGAGGAGCTATCCCCTCTGCAGAGGATCAAAATTGAGATGGCATGTCTTCGGATCATCCTCAGGGATGTTTCCCACACCGTCACCAATAGCCCATTGTGGAGCTCTAGTGCGATGTAAATCAAGTACTGACGTATTACTTTTACTTTTTTTATTTATTGGCTAAGTTATTAATTTTAAAATATCTCATATTTTACTGCCCTATTTTTCTTTCGAAAAGAAACATGTATGAATAAAATAATTTTTTTTAATTTGAAACTTCATATAACATTTGTTATTTGCATTCATATTAAATTTCATATAACATTTATTATATATAATATATTTTTAATTATAAAAGAAGAAAGTAAAGATATTAATGTAGGAAAAATTAATGACAATAGATTATACTTCATTTTAAAATAATACACCCACTCTTTATTAATAATAATAATAACTATCAACGCTGAACTATAATATCCGCACCTTGAACCATTATACGGATTTGTTATAAAATTGACCAAATTAAAGCCTTTTTTTTATTTAAAAAAGAAATGTTAATTAATATATTTATTTTACAGAGTTTTGACACTAGATTTTGTTTTAGTTTAAAAGAAAATAAACAAATAAATAAGGTTAGCAGTTCAACGATGTACAATAATATCGGTAATTTGAACCTAAACACGGCACAAATTTGTTGCCATAGTATTGTGTAATCAAATTTAAGAAGTACAATAATAAGGTTCAACAACACTATGAAATATCTAGCAGTTTTATTTTTAAAAAAATTATTATTATTACGTAACTGTTACCATTATTCCGTATTAGAAACATAATTAAATTTAACACCTTATCAAATGTTGTAGAACATTTTGAACCATATGGTTCAAGGTATCGATATTATGGTTCAACGTTAAACCAATATTCGTGACACGTTTTCCAGTATTGCTCATAATTTCCCCCTCTCATGGATTTTTCTTTTTCATCCGAAAAGAATTCATTTCCTTTGAACCACCGATGTCGTGCATTAATAAAAGGGAAGATCTTAATCTATATCTGAGAAAATTTTCAAAAGGTAAATAACTTCTGAAAGGATGAGAATCACTTCCTTCCAATTTACTTTTATTTCTTCTTTTAAACGTGTGCGACCGCTGAACTGTTAATAGCCTAATTTTTTCCCTTCTTTTTTTTTCTCTCTTCATTTCCTAATTCTGTAATCAGAGAGGATAGCAGATTTCTCTCAACATCTGCTCCTCTCTCCCTTTTTCGTCATATATTACCCCTGGTTACTTTGGTAACAGTTGGAAGAGGGTGATGAGGGGTAAAAGGGATGCGCCACTCCCTATTACCCGAGAGGAAGGAAGAGGCGGCAAAGAACAGTTTAGGAATTTACCTCTTTCTTGCCCTTAGAAACAGTGAGGTGTCTTGTTATTACTTTATAAGCAAAAAGATGAACTATTAACATCTGGTCCCTTTTCCGGAAAATTCCCGAGATTTTTGTTGTCTGGGAGATAAAAAGGAGTTTTTGCACGTGAGCAAACAAATGGAAAATTTATTGGCGTTTTTAGTTTTGTCGAACTATTTTGGGAATAATATTGGAAAAATGTTTGTTGGTGCTACGTAGTTTTATCGATAAAAGAGAAACCGTGTTTGTTTATTTAGCGGTTATATATTTCTTTTCCTTTAAATTAATTACGATAAGCTTGACATGAAACATTTTTTTCTAAGTGTTTTCCATTCGAGATGAGTATTTAAAAATTTTTTATATAAAATTGAACAATAATTTGCATTTCCTTCAAAGCAAAAATAGAGAAGTGTTACTCTCAGAAATACATGAATATTGGTTCAAAATTTGATGCACCATTTTATAAGGTGTTAAAATTAATTTATGTTTCTATTCAAGATGAAAAAAAGCTAAAAAAAATTTAAAAATATAATACAAGTTTAAGAAGCAAAATATTGTCTATTGACTGAATTATAAAATTAGATATGTTTCTTTTTTTTTCCTTCTTTTTCATCCACATTTAAAAACGATTAATATTAATTTCAGCCATCATAAACTTTCTTGAATCAATTTTTCTTTTTTGTATTATTAAAATTGGAATGAAATAATTTATTTATGGCATATTACATTTACATTACTTAGTAATGTTACAACGTATTTATTAATCTTATAGTGGTTCATCATGCTCCAAAATTTCTAACAGCGATACTTTTTTTGACCAATATCTGCCATATACTTTGCTTATTTACGAATATTAGGCGTTATAATTGACTATTATGATTACAAATTAATCTTTTTTTGACAAATTATACGCAGATAGCTAGCAAATTATAAAATTAGGTATTTTTAATTTTTTTTCCATCCACGTCTAAAAAAAGATTTATCTTAATTTTGGCCATCATAACCTTTCTTGAATCAATTTCTCGTTTTGCTTTATTAAAAGGGAAATAAAATTGTGTATTTTTGACGACATTTCAAATTTCTTGAACGTGTTACCTTTACTTTACTTTTATGACACATTACATTGCATGCGTTTTATTTAGACATATTATGATATTTGTCATAATGCAATGCTAAAATCTAAAACAAAGATAATCTTTAATTAGCTAAATCTTTAACTGATTGTTTTGTTTTGCATGTTAAAATAAAAAAAATCTCCTTGTTTTAGAGACCTATGTTATTTTTACAAGTATATAGATTTATTAAAAAAAGTTATTATGAAAAATATTTTCCTCCACGTATAAATCCGCATTTTTGTCATTTGAACTGGAAGTTCGCAGATAACCATTTAAAAAAATTATGCATTATTCAGGAAATATGTTAATAAATAATTTATGTTCAATTTTATTAGATTTCAAAAGATGTGGTTTTGTGAACGATTTCGGCTTTGTCAAAATTTTAGCCATAGAAAGATAACAGGAAATATAATTTCCTCTTTGCGTATGGTGCACTAAACTATTTGTGTTTCAGTTTGTCATGGTTCGATGTTTTCTTTGCCCTACGAAAGAGCGCTATATGCATAAGTATTAAAAATTTTATGATATTCTCTCGCTGTTTTTTTTTTTTTTTTAAATTTTGTATTCTGAATAAAAATTCTTCTTGGTTTTATTTACATAATTAATTATAATTTTATAATTATTTATTTCTTTTGGAATGCTTGTCAAGTCCTAAAAATATGCACGTCTTATTTTCTAAAGTTAATATTTAAATACAGAAGGAAAAAAGAAAAAAACTAACCATCGATTTCTGTCCCAGTGAGGGGGTTAAAACAAACCAAAACTAATTTAACCGAACGATTGCTAGATTAAACTAAATGCCATTATTTTCGACACTTTTTTATTCTCGTCTTGACAGACTGATCTAGATAATGATTTTACATATTTGGAACATATCTGTAGCTCTGGGGATAGAGCGTTCGTTTCCCAATGAGGTGACCCGGGTTCCCTGGCTGGTGGAATTCCACACCCGGCTCACACCGACCACAATTCTGATATAAAATATCCTCAGTGGTAGAGTGGGTTAGTATCCCCTAACCTTCAGGCTGACCGTGGGAGATTTTCGTGGTTTTTCTCTCCATGTAACGCAAATGCGGGTTATTTCCATCAAAAAACCCTGCTCGAAGTCTAAATTCTTTCAATACTTGATCCAAGAGTTTCCTTGTCTTCTGGATTGGGTTAAAAAAAATTACAGGGGTAGGTAGTTGAACATTGGATATCGTAAACTCAAAATTTGATCGGCTGTTCAATGACGGTTATACTACAATATAACATCTATTTGTTAGAAAGTATTTATTTTTATTGAATACGTGATTTCAAATGACGTGATTAAGTTTACGAAAATAACACATCTAATTAACACTGACGGAATTTACAATTATTTTTACGATTTTCAAAAAAATTTTAGTAATTTATTGCTACAACTTTTTAAAAGAATTAATAATATCCATATGATAATGTCTTTTAAATAAAGATATGTGTAATGTGCATTTTATATGTGTAGAATATTTAAAAAAAAATTAATTCATTTGCGTTGCATGTTTTTTTTTCCTTTTGTTTATCTTAGGTTATTTATTTTATAGTTGCTTATTATGTATTTTTTTTCCTTTTTATGAAACTAATAAAGAGAGACGTATAGAACTGTTTTGTGTAATGAGTTTTGTTTTCTCTTTGCAGATTTATGCGACGAAGAGGAAAATGTAGGATGCTCTCTTCATTCGAACTAAAATATTCTCTCCTCTCTCGTGTGCACAGTGATTTAGTCATCAAGCTATGACCATCATTTGTGTTATCTTTCTCCCGTAAATAAGGCTCAGAATAAAATCTGCTCTTTCTGAAAAAAGAAACTGATTAATTGAAAGGGTCAGTATTTGGTCATTCACTGCGTCCTACGTCACCGGAAGATGAAGATCGAAACGGAAGTCCACAATTCTTTGTATTCGTTTACTTCCTCAGAGGGGAAGTGCGGGGGATGCTCCGTGAACGGCGGAGAGCTGCCGCCTATTGCGCAGGACGGATCGATCGGCCGCCCCGAACGGCAGCTGACACCGCCGGGATGCTACGGTGGGTGTGGTCCAAGCTCCTCCGCCGCCGAAAACAACAATAACAGCCCCACTTTTACAACATCGAAATCTGACTTTGAGTGCGAACACTTTCAGTATATTGACGAGGACGTGAGCGACGAAGACGAGGATGTGCCGACGATTGAAACGTCGGCGGGGCAAAAACCATCATCATCGATATCAGCAGAGTCCGCCGCCCCGGCGACTGATTCAACTACTGTCCCGAACGGGACGGCCACCGCACCGGGAAGCCATCTTAATAACAAATCCCCCTCCAGCGACCATCCGGTGGAGGTGAACGGACACACCATGCCGCGTGACGATACCAAGTCGGAGGCGGCACACCACCACCACAAGGGGCACTCCGTAAAACGGCAGGTAAGCTTTGAAGAATCTGCCACTCATGAATCAGCCAAAGAAATAAAATCTGTCCTGAAAAAAGGCAACAGATTGGGAAAGCGACAAAAAAATCGTGTGACATTTGACGAGGCAGTGACTTTATACTCGGATGAATGCGAAGAGGTCCAACATTTAGCTCTGACAACAGGACCTGACATTGTTTACACTGAAGTGTTTTACATGTTCGAACCTCCTATCGAATACCAAGATGTGCCACCATTCGAACCGCCCGCTGAGTATAGAGATTCTGAAGAAGCGCCTGTTGCAAAGCCAGATCCACCTGTGGAAAACGGGCCAAAGCCAGAAAATAACAGCGATACCCCTGTGGAGAGTGTCGTCAGTGAAGAGAGTTCCGAAAAAAATTCAGTGCCTGCTCCAGAAGTCGCCGTTTCGAATGAAACGGAAAATACTGACAGTGTAGTGATAACTGAAGAGCCCCCTTCTGATTCAGTGCTTAAAGAATCTAGTACAAATGAAAGCGAAAAACTATTTCAGAGATTCTCCGAAGCTGAGAGAGAATTTGCTGTAGATGAAGAGCTCAACAGCGTGTTTCATGAGCTAAACAGTGAGTTTGGAACGGACTGCTCCAATGGTGATCTTAGTAATGATTATTTTAGATCACTCATCACTTGTTTAACTGCAGCCGAGTGTGGTATACCAGTAAGTGAATGTGATCTTTTTCCATCTGTTAACTTTGAACTTGATAGTATGTGTCGCGAAATTAGTGATAATGATGGTAGTAAAACCCATTCTCGCACTCTTTCCGAAGCTGATAGTGACTGTAGCATATCTTCTCAAGATACTATTATAGTTAGATACGGTGAAGAAGAAAGTGAACCAGGATCTGATACTACAACTAAAGGTGAAGATGCAATAATTCAAGATTCATCTGAAGTTGAAAAAATCGATACTGTGATTAAACAGGAAGAGAGAGACGAAGTTTTCAATGACACGTCACTTGATCATTTGTGTGAAGACGAAAAACCACGACCATTGCCACGTGAATCGTTACTTAACAAAAGTTCTCATGCACCACCAACAGCCTTGGTTAAATTAGTAGATGAAGTGAATGGGGAGAGTTTGTCTCGTCAAAGTTCTGGTGAACAGTCGGTGAATAGTGGTACTTCTCAAGATCCGCCACCAGATGCTGATGACTCAACGTCCTCTGATTCGCGCAGTGGGGAAGTGGAAGAAGAAATTCGTTTGGATGACATTGGTTATGACGAAGAAGATGCTGAGGACTATGATGAGGAAAGTTTCCGCGGAATGGCTCATGGAAATTCCAAAATTAGACGAATTATTAAAAAGAATGCTTTACAATGCACACTTTTCAGAGGAATTGAAGCAAAGAGACGTCAACAGCCTGGAATTAAATATCCACGTCCTAAATCCCCTCTTTTATCTCAAGAATCTCTGGTAGAAAAGCTTAAGTGGCTGACAACCATCGATGAACAGAAAGATATCGATGGACCTATGAACTTTCATTCAAAACCACCTGATGTTATATTGTCAACAGGTGGTATACCAGCAAATGGCTCAATACCCCATAGTGCTTCATCGGAGGATGATATTGTTAATCAAACTGCCTTGTCTTACCAGCAACCTCAGTTTTATCATAGAGTAATCATGCCATCTAACAGTAAAGGTGGCTATTATGTTCGCCATGATGGTTATCCTCCTACTCATCATCCATCTTTACCTCGGCAACGAGTATCCTGTTCTGGACACAGCCCACAATCCATGTCCCATACATTACCTTATCCTCCTAACCGTATGGTAATACAACATCCACCTAATTCTCAAGTGCAGTGGTCTGAGCAGCGAAATAATGGCTCCATGACAGTTCCTAGGAATTTTAGAGATTGGAGGGTCATACAGAGAGTCATGGTAAATAGAAATAATGATGGCCATTCTAGGAACTCTCATGTACCAGCTGACTATGTGCGATGTTCAAATGGTAGTGCCTCCAGTGGTGGTTACTCTTGCAACGTGCCTCCGGATGTTAGCAGAACTTCTCAACCGCCTCTAAATTTTAACCCCGATGAACTAGCTCAATTTGTCGAAAAGGATACTGCTCGTCTCGAGAGGATACGAAAACGATATAGTGTTGCTGAAGAAGATGAGGATCCAACTTTTGGATTCGCTCGCAGACCATCTGTCAGAGGTGTTCAGAGTCGAATCCAACTTAACCCGTCCGACATTCAAGGTCATGGTATAAATCCTATGGATCCATACAAACATTTTGAAGAGTCAGGACAGGGACTTTCTTTAGTGCATCCCAGATCTGCTTCTTATAACGATGACCAGTTAAGGTCTTGGAGCAGAGATCCTAACTGGAGGCCGGAAAATGGACCTGGTCAACATTACGGCCAACCCATGCCACCTGGTAGGTCACAGGCGCCTATGCACATCCATAGGGCATCTGTGGCCTTGACAGAGCTTCCTGGTAGTGCAACAATTCCTTACACTCATCGAAAACCGCACCTAGACACGAGGTATCATTCTTACGCAGAGAGTATGTATGGTAGCACCAGGACACTACCCACAAAAGGATGGCAATCCGCAGATCACAGGTCGTGTATGAACGTCCCCAACCCAAATTCTAGTGTTTCATCTCCAATGCTTCAAGTTCCTCTTCATCCTGTTGCAAAGGATGAAAGAGGTGTGCCAGAAGGTGCTAGTTCGTCGCCAAAAGTCTCTTCTGATTCTTTATACCATGCTCCTGTGCCTGAATCCATCGCCAGCGGAGGACCGCATAAAGATGAAGGTGTCATATACTATTCTCTCAATGTGTGACACAACTGTAGAAATTGTTTTATATGTGGATGGCGGTCTTCCGACACGACTGTAAGCTGAAATCTGTGAGCGTGTTGTGACAGCATTTATCAAATTTTATTCTGATACAAAGAAATATATAAACGTTTGGTTTAAATCACTTAACTAATGATACATGGCAAAATAAAGTCTTCCGGAAAATAAGTACGAAACAGCGGAATTGTTTCTCCTGCTTTAAAAATCAGGTATTTAGAACATTTATTTTTAAACTGAAAAAAGAATCTTATCATATCTTTTTATCTTTTTGAGCACAAAAAAAATATCTAATCCCAAAGTAAATCTAATATTTTTTTTTTCGTTTAAAACACCGTAGCTGAAATAATGGGCAGAGATTTTGAGTTAAATTTATTATGAGCAGGAATTTCTAATGTATTTTGAATTTATATTCGTAACTTAACTTTGCTTTTATATAATATTTCTATAAGTATTTTTTATTGGGGGGGGGGATATTCCAATTTAATATTTCCTTAATTTAATTTCTTCTTCATTATTAAAATTTTAAAAAAAAATCCATGATAACAGTATTATGTAGTTACAATAAAATAATTGTTTAACCAAAATGGACATCAAAACAAATATTGAATACATATAAAACATTAACCACATTTGTTATTATTTTATCTTTAAAATTATGTTAAAAAATTTTTAAAAATCATTTTATATCATATTATTTTTTAGTTACATTTTTATTTGAAAAAAAAACGAGTTTTTTTTATCATAATAAATATTTTTGACTACATACTTCTTTTCATTAGGCTTTAAGTATTTAACTATGCGAAAGCCGATTTAGTTGGAAATTTAGTCTCAGAAATATATAATGCTACATTGAGTAACATTCTATGCAAAACTTTCGAGTTTTTTCAAATATCTACATAACAACTAAGGTAATGATTTTTATCATAATTTGTCATATTTTACAAAATCTGTATATAGTATGTGTTTTGAATTTTTGATGATACATGTACATTATATTTGGTGCTTTTGAGAAATGAAAAGCACTTACTTAAAGAAACTTTCTCTTCAACTCTATATTGCTTTTATAAATTAAAATTATAGTATTATTTCATTTAAATAAGTATTTTAATAGCTTTCTATTTATCATATTGTTATAGTGAGTAATACGTAAAATTTGACTGTAATAACATTTATTTTATGGTGAGTAAATGAGTATATTATTCATGTAATGCGCTTAAAAAACATGATTTATCATTGCGAAATATGAAACATTAGGTTAAATAGTGCCTGTATAAATTATATTGCTTCTTTATTTAATTTCTGTATATTTTGCAATTTTCAGGGATTTATTCTTACTGTCAAATAATCTATATATATATCTAGTAAAAATTTGTTTTACTCTCTCTTAAAATTTTATCTAACTCTGCATTTAATTACTATTTGTTTTAATTAAAATGTTTATCTTGTTGGACTAAAACAATGAGACAATCACTATTTCATTTTGTCTTACGAAAAATATTAAAATAACATTTGAATCGAATTTAAATTTGAAATTAAAAATTATTATTAAAGTGTTATAGTAAAAACTAGAAAGTAACTTTAATAATTTTTGACTTGAAATTTATTGTATAAGACAATTTTTTTTTTAATATTTGTATGATAATAATATAAGATGTTTTATAGTGCTTATGAAATTATTTTGAAAATTTAACTACTTAGATGTAAAAAGGAAACAATTTTCTCATTGAGTTAAAATTCTTCAAATTAATAACAGAAAGTGTTAGAAACTATAAGTAACAAATTTATTATCAAATTTAAAAAAAAGGATTTAAATTCATCATATAATGTACACTGCTTTAACCATTATGAATCAGTTTATTATTTAGAAAAGGTAGTTATATCAAATGAATAATTTCACGAGTTAAAATTAACCAGTTATAGCTAAACTATTACTGAACCCTATTTTTCTTAACACAGAGTATATCATCAAATATAATGATTTGAATATAAAATTTTTAAATTGCTTGAAAATTTTTAATTCGCTCCTGCCTTACCACATACATATTTGATCTGATAAAGAACTTATTTCTATGCTTGAAACACATAGTCTGCATATTTGATTTTACGGAAGTGTAAGATTTTTATTATTATTTTCTCAAATTTTTTGTTTCAAATTTACCGTCAAAATAGAAACATTTTATAATTTTGTATTTAAATTAGTACACCTGAACATATCCGCTATGAAATTGAGTATCATTATTATTTATTTATTAATTTCGTATGAGTTTTAAAAATATGTTATTCGAGGGATTTGAATATCATGCCTACCTAATATTTATTTTATGTTATTCCAATATTTCAAAAGCATAAACAGTATTTACTACAAGTCTACTTTATGAATAAAGCCATGTTAAAATAAATAAGAATAGAAAAATACCTCTCTTTTTTCCTAAATCTTTTTCAAATCTTACACAATGGCTTCGAATCATATTCCAATTTATTCCATAAATAACTACATTACTAACGGCAACTGTACTAAATTTTCTTTTTAGTAGAAAAATATAAAAAATAGGTAAAAAGATTTAGGAGCTAAACTATTAATGCCCTTATGAATTTTAAAAAATGGAAAGTGTGATAATTTTCCTTATTTGTTGCCATTCGCGTCTTTGATTTTAAAAAAAATTGTTCTTAATACTGGGTTTTAAAGCAAAGTCATCTGCTCCATTTAATTTTTTCCTACTTAAAAAAATATCGTTTGCAATTTCAATTTTAAAGATTTAAGCTATAGGATGTATAGAGACAAAAACAAAATGTTTACAATAGATAATTTTCAAATGAACACCAACTTATTTAAAGAGTTGAAAAACAAAGTAATGTTGGAAAATTGAGTGTTAACATTCTGACTTAGTATATATTTTAAAACTAACTAAGCTCTTCAATTTATTATGCAATTTCCTAATAAACGATTAAAAAAAAAAGACAGAAAAAATTTAATTTTTTTAGAAACCAGGTTTTGTTAGTTATAACCCAAAAATATGAAAACATATTCTGGCCTGTGCATATATTTTTCCCGATCAATTTTTAAACTTTTTGTTTTGATTACTATAGAAACATTATTAATCAAAATTATGACACATCAATGTTTTACTAAACACTATAATTGCAATCATTGGTTACAATTTTAATTTTTTAGAAAGATTTATTAATTTCGTTATCTTTTAATATAAATGAAATCTAATTAAAAAAATTTAATTTATTTTTGTAAAATTGTGAAATTTCTTTTTAAAATAAAGAAAAAGACTTCCTGTCATAGAATAATCAGTTATATGTAGCAAACTATTTACAACATTTTTCAGCTCTGCTTATTTTATAACAACATTATAGTAATTTAAATCGTTAATTATTTTATTATAAACGTAACAATTTTTAACTATCTTAAAATAATAAATTACTTCCTTTTCATTTGAGTATTTCTACCATCATAAATGATACTGAAAACGAATTATATAAAACACAAATAACGTCGTTTTAAAAGATAGTTATAACAATGATATGTTAAAAGAAAATATGTTCTGAAGGTTCATACTAAGTTAAAGTGTTTTTAGTAATCATTTTACTTTCTAACTTATTTTGAAATTGCTTTCAATATTTTAAATATTTAGGGAAGAATATATCGAAAAAAATTTTGGAAATCCTTTAACCACTTTTAGATCTGGCAAAATGAATTATGCATTCTGATTATTTAATATTGTTTCTATCTATTCTATTAACTTTTATTTTAATAATAAAATAGTGAACGTTAATAAAAATTCCATTTTATTCAAACCGTGAAAATTCAATTCCAAAATTCTAATAAATTCTAAACTTAAAAATGCCAATTATATTTTACAAGTTTGAGGGAGCGAAACACTAAAATTACATCTTCATTCCCTCTCAACTAATCGATCCGTTAACTGTTACTATAACTGTCTCCACCTTTTCAGTTTGCTCTTCACATAAAATAAAATTTCTTCTCTTAAAACATTTCAATTTAAGAGCTTTTTACATAAAATTTCAGTGAGAAATTTTATTATGATATAGTTTAGTATTTAAATAGTTGAATGGCAGTTAATTTTAATTAATTACATTAAAAGTTTTATTAGATAGATCAGATTTTAAATTTAGACTGTAATTATTTAAATCTACTTTGTGTTATCAAATATGCATTTTTTATTTGCTATTTTTGGGATCATTTTTTTTTATTTACATTTAAATCTATGAATCCGTGTCTGATACATTTTGCAATGAATCCATTTATAAATATTCATATACAGTGCATACTATCTTATTTAAAGTTATCACTTGCATGATTGAAAATGTATATTTGTTTATCTTTGAGAGTATTGTTCCATCTAGATATCATCAAAATTTAGATCATTTCACTCATTCTTTCAAGACTAAAAAGAAACAATTTTATTATGGTCTTATAATAATAAAATGTTTTAATCAAATTTTCAAAATTCTTCGAATTCCTCTACGTATGTATCTGTAAATTTGAAAATCAGTTTTTTTTTAAGAATGATTGATATTTTAAAAAATTATATCTGTAGTAAAAAAAATAATTTAAACTAGTTTTTATATACTTTTTAAATTGTTTTTAATATTACGTACTAATAATTTATTTAATCTAATGCCTGTGGACAGAAATTGATATCGATATCAAGAGACAACTAACTCTACTTAGAACGATAACAATATATATGAAAAGTGCTTTTGTGTAATTTTGGACCACCCCTATTTCGATAAATCAAATAATATCAGTCTTAGAAAGTGTCCTTTTCCTTAATGATAATTATTTGAAAATAAAATCAGATGATATCGTTATCAATAAGCAAACATTTGCTTTTTCTCATTTTCGTGAAATATATCTAAATTGTATATAAAAAAAGCTTGGATGGAAGGAAAAAAATCTCTCTTTTTTTTTAGTCTACTCAATACCATAAGGATATAAATAAATCAATGTAAGTTAAGTGTTAATAAACTTATATACATTTCAATATTTTCATTACTTATAACTAGTAAGACTACATTATTCAAAAATTTAACATTAAATTGAAAATTAATATTTTTTATACAGGATAACTTAAAAACTATATTTATAGACACATTATGATATTGGTATTAAGATCGTAACCTCCAAGCTTCCACTGATATTTAATATCAAGATGAGTCAAGTATATCCGATATCAATATAATGCTAATCCCTTTGGTCGATTTGGTTGTTTTTATTGAAATTATTAGTATTCTACTTCACTGTTATTGCTTAACTAAAAACGGTATTACTACTTATGTTTAATTGTTTTGTCTTTTAATATTAATTTACAATGAATTTTGTCACATAATTTGTTTTCATTTTTTGTCTTGCTTTAACAGATTCTTTATTATACAGAACATTTATATTAATTTTTTAAAACTATATTTTACCATTGTCAACTCCTCCTTTCTCTGTATTTTTTCTAACACACTAACTACTACACTTTCCTATTTTTTCCTTCACTTTTCTTTCAGTTATGTATTTTGAATTATATTTTATTTAAATTCCTTATTATAAATAGTCTGATTTTTCACTACCTGAGGACGCAGATGAAATGTTTACATTGATCACTTAATTTGTTTTTTCAAGAAAAAAAAACTTTTATTTTCTTAAGGTTAAAAATTATAATTTTATAAATTAAATGAAAAGTTAGATTCAAACTTTGTTTTGTTTCTTTTTGCATAAATCTTTCGTGTAAAAAATATTCATATATTGTACAAATCTTTATTTTATTTCTACAAAGAATCTTTAAATAGCTAAATAATATTGCATAATATTTTTTAAAACAATATTTTATCATTTTCAACTGCTTATTTTTTACTACCCATAACTTCATTTTCCCATTCTAAAATTTTTCCTACACTTTCAATTATATATTTTAAATTATACTTTATTTAAATTATAAATAGTCTGATTTTTCTCAACCAGGGGGCGCATATGAAGTATTTACATTAATCTGTTTATTTATTTATTTTTTTAAGAAAAAAGTAGTTTGCTTTTTGGAGATTAAAAATTATCATTTTGTAAATTGAATTGAAAGGTTAGATTCTACCTTTGTTTAGTTTATTTTCGCATACATCTCTCCTGCAAAAAAAATATGCATATGTTGTACAAATTTTCATTTTATTTCTACAAAGAATACTTTTCCCTTTCAGTGTTTTCCTTTCCTTTATTTTATATTCCCTTTATATTATACTTCTCTCTTTATTTAATTCTACAAAGAATATTTTTCTCTTCGGTGCATTACAAACTTAAACACTAATGGATCACATTTAAATGCAAGCAGGAGTATTTTTGTTGATTACAAATTTTGTATTGGTGATATAGCATTTATCAAAAATGGATCATGATATTTTTAAATTACACTTTTTTTTTATGATGCCAATAATACTAATTGAAAACAAGATATAATGAACTCAGTAAATTCAAATTGCTGGTAAATCTTAATTCATTGTTATTGAAAACGCATTATTTCTTTATAGTAAAATTCAGTTTCAACCAATTTTTATTCTAATTGTATTACTGTTACAAATTATTATTGTATTTTCCTTTCCTTTCCTTATTTTGCTCCTGAAAAAAAATGTTACAATAGAATTGAATTGTATTTTAGTCCTTTTTTAAGCTTATTTAGGCTGTCTAATAACTTAAAGCTGTTTGTAAATTTTTAAAAAATTCTAATTTAAAGCCTAATAGCAAACTACATAAAACATCGCAGGTTATTTGTAATTTTTTAAATAGTAATTAAGAAGCACCGAAAATTATTTGTATTTTTTAATTG